ATAGAGAACTGCTGCCGTACACACCTTTAATTTGCTAGCTGATGGCTTTTGTAATCTAACAGCGATATATCTTCGTGTTAATCTAATATGTTTTCTTATTCCATTACCGAATCTAATCCGGAAAATCAGATCATCGTTGAAATTCTGCGGCTTATTGCATCTGAGCTGCACTGCTGCACCAACTGAATAAACCATCCAGGCTTGTCTTAGGCGCAAAAGGAATTTAGGGCTTTAGGTCAATGTTAGTCTGCTGCAGACAATTTAATCTACACGTGCAAAATACGCATGGCTAATTCGACATTTGGGTCGCCTATTCCAGTGATAAAAATTGTTTATGCAGACGTTAAATATTCAAATAGAGCGTGCGATAAACTCGTGCATTATTCAAGAGGAACGTGTTGACAAACAACGATATTGACTGCATTGAAACTCTGGTAATATATCAATCTTGCTGGGTAATGGCTTTCATGTGCTCAAATAAATCTGATATCTTTCAAGCTTCGAGCAAGATGCCTTTGAACTTTCTCGCAATCAAAAACGGCTGAATTTTATCAGTTTAATTGTGGGGAAATTAGCTTTTTTACAAGAAGTTGGCAAAATAAATGCGGCGCCAACAACCGTCTGACCTCTTCTACAACATTAACAGGAAAGTTGAAAAATCTAGTTAGCTATCGACGGCGAAAGTCTCAACTTCGATTTTGTTTCACATTTCAATCTCGGCGGCCGCTATAAATCTTTTCAAATCCATTAAGACGTCAGTGGAAAAATAAGAAAAACGTTTTCAGCAAGACTTTAATAAACCGCTAGGAATAATGATATGAGCATGATGAGGCGAATCCTTGTCAAACCGCGCTACTACGCGTTACCTAATTTAGGCCTTTAGCGGATTATTATGAAAAATGTCTTTGCCAAAAAAAACCAGAATTAACCGGGGCAGCTATTGTAGAGAAAATTATTTGTATCAGTGGACAAAGTTGCGTTTTTCAGTCGTCATCGTGAAATTTTTTACAATTTTTGAAAATCTGCGTGGTTTTTGCCGGTCGGAGTTTGGTATTTATTTCTTCAGAAGCCTGTCCAACTTTAGAGCTCTGTTTGACTGCTGTTTGTAGAGGAAAGTCCCTTCTATAAGTGACCAGAGTTTCTATTTTCAATAATCATTAGACAATTTTTCAAAAATTTTTAAAACCGCGTTTGTTTTGCAACAGGCTGGAGTTGCAATTATTTCTTCAGCGTCCAGTCCAGCTAGGTTAGAAAGTTGCTTTTGGCTGATGTCTGTGGAGACATTCTCTACAAATAGGTGCATAAAGTTTCGATTTTCAGTCATCATCATGCAATTTTTGACAAGTTGTTTTGTAGCCTGAAGTTCGGCGTTATTTTTGTTTTTGGAATTTATAATTTTTGCGTTTAAAATTGATGGAGAAATTACCAAAAAATAAGTGACAAAGTTTCGATTTTCAATCATCATCACGCAATGGTAACTAACTTTTCAAGTTTGTTTTTGCAAACCAGAGTTGGACATTTATTTCTGTGAGAGCCAGTTCAGTTATACAGTCGTTTTTAGTCTACATTTATAGAGAAAAGTTTCTTCTAACAGTGAACAAAGTTTTAATTTCAGCGATCATTGGATAATTTTTCAAAAGTGCGTTTCGAGTACGAGGTTGTTTTTGCAAGAATTTATTGCTTCTGTGTTGTTTTTTATGAGCTTTGTAGGGCAGGGTGTGTTCTGTAAGTTGAAAAAGCTTGGATTTTTGCTCATCATCAGGGTATTTTGGAGTACTTTCCAAGTTGTGTCTGATTTTTATGGGCGGAGTTTTGGATTTTTTCCTTCGGTAACAAGCGAAGGCAGGGAGTTACTTTTGTATGCCTTTTGTTCGGCAAAGCGTGTTCTATCAGTGAACAAAGTGTCGATTGTGGTCCAAACAGTCAACAATTTATAAGCGCAGATTGAAATAAAGATCAAGAAAGAGCACAAGAAAATTGTGCTCACTTTTTAAAATCATCGGTTCTGGATTCTACGATAAAACGGAAAAACTCGCTAATATAAATCCGATACCACTGTGCATTCATATTGATTTAAAGAAAATATGGGAGAGCTTCCATTCGATTCAGTAACAAATTAGAAATGGAATTACCCCGGTCTGCATCAGATAGCCGAGGCATGGAAAAAATATCAAGCAAATATTGGTAATATCCAATAAACTCCATTAAACTGCCGGCAAGGAATTCTCGTTTTGAAAACATCGATCCGCCCTAATCCATAAATCATTACGGAAAGTAATTAAAATTGTTCCACCGCGGGCCTGTAATTCTTATTCTATTTATTCGAGCGCTATCTTAACGGGAACGAGAGATTTATTGTTTTAAACTAATGCAATTGCCACATAAATCAAACAGCAAGTCATGATAGAACATTGCTGGTAATTGTGACAAATTCTGCCTAAGTCCCATTACAGTTTCAGTTGCTATTAACAAGAAATTTCATTAATTTACATCCAAATAGAACAAAATGAATAAATGATGAAGCTTATAAAATGAGTTGCAATGCAATGACTTGCATTTCGGGCATTTTCCTTAATCTTGTTACTTGAAACTGTCGTTGTGAAATTTGTAAAAGCAGCTAGTTTATTGGTGTACTCAAATTTGTTTTAGTACGTGCCTTCTTTCGTTTTTTTCTCAATTTTATTAGGGTGAATAATTCTCAATAATGCGATTCAAGTTCACGTTTTAAGAATTTCATCCAGGGACTTCATTTCGCAGTTAGCAGTTTCAATGTGTGTATGTATTAGTCAAAATTTACATATCAAGTTCTACACATAATGAGATTCAGCTTGAAGCGTATTTGCCTAATGTAATCCGGCAAATACAGACATTAATTATCCGGGCAAATGCGCTAAATGCACCAAATACAGACAGCTACAAAGAGCCTTTGAACTGCTGTTGAATTAAATCATTCTTAAATTGGTAAAAAGCTTAAAAAATTTCTATTTTCCCCATGGCACCTGCCAGTAGCCCTTCGTTCGCTCTGGTTGGAAAATCACACAAAAAAAGCCATTTCCGGAAATCCCCTGTTTGTCCAGGACAAATCTGGGTCACGGCGGCATTTTAGAGTGACAGATTTCGGCTACTTACCTCCAAACATCTCGGGCTTTTTGAATTTATCATGCAAACCGTTAAAGAAACGCGTTTGTTTTTGCCCGTCTTTCCGGGCCGTAAGTCATATTGAAATTGGCTAAGCGGTGTCGAGCATGTGCTTTTAAAAGGAAAGCGCCATAAAAACTTTAAATGTGTAACTCGTGTGTTGAATACCGAATATTTACTTTCAAAGTTTTTTCAATTCACATATGAAAATTGGACTCAGGACTCACTTAAAACATTTCATCAATCGTGCAGTTAAATAATTTTTTAGGGTTCGTTTGCCCGAAACACCCTTAAAGGACTTTTGGATGCTTTCCACTTCAGGCCATTGAGGGAAAACCCCGATCAACTTACTCAAACGCTAAGTACAAAACAATGAAAAGTTGGCATTAAATGCAAATAAATACTAGTTCACGCAATTGAAGAAATGCTGAGGCTCTAGTGGAGGAAAAATGTAATTTGGAAATTGGTCACATGCTTAATCGTGTCTGCTTCAATTGGGCACAAACCTTTTAAAACCTTACATTGACGAAAAGCTGAATGAAAGCATCATGAGGACGACTCGACTTGTACGCAACATGTGATAAATAGCTGAAAACTTATAGGCTTTTGAGAGGAAGTTACATCCAAAACTTTCTCAACGGAAAACATCAACATAACATCCTTTATCGTGTTTTCAACAAACAACCGCCAATTAAGCACCTGCATAGACTTGGCAAATCAAAAATCCCTCTATTTCAAAACGCAGTTATTCGAAATCCCATTTCAATTCCACTAAATCCAGTAGACACAAAGCCAAGGGAAATTACATCAGCGCTCCAAAAGACGCTCTTTCAGTGCATTTTTTCGCTGATTCTTCCTTGTTTGCTAACTGTATTTATACAGTCTGACTGAATGCAGTAAATTACATTTCTCAGCTCTCAGGCTTGATTTGTTCGTGAAAATGTTCAACCAATCCAACTAAAATATTCAGTTGAAAATGTCCTTTATTAACTGCGTAATAAATGCAACTGAGCCAAAACCGCAACAGCTGAACAAAGTTGCAACTATCTGGGTTTGTGGGTCAATGTTAAAATGCTGGAATTTATGGCGATCGAAAAATGCCATTACCAAGCGTTGCCTTTTGAAATTATAAAAGTTGATTCGTTTTGAGTGTGCATATGAAGGGCTCAACAACGGAGCAATTTTTAATGTTTGAATGGATTGGTTCACTGATTGGAACTGGCACAAGGATCCAATCTTGTTGTGATTGCACTGGAAAATGTTTCAGATCTGGACTTTTTCTGGTTCATTATATAGCTCTAATTGGGGATAATTTCTGTAGAACATCTCTGTTCGTTAAGTATCTACCAAAGGAAAATTGTTCGGCGAACACAAAAGGCCAATTAAAATAATTACGTTATTGAAAACTCCCGGCCAAAATACTCACTCAACTTGATATCTTCGAATAATACGTTTAATTAAAGCTCAAACACGAACTTCATATTTACTTTAGCTCGAATAAGCACCTGACAGGCTACGTGTGTAGAAACTCCCGTTTGGCTGTATATTTGCGAAGATGAAGAACAGACAGAACGAGTTACAAAGAGCTCAATTTTCCAGGCCCAGTCTTTCTTTATATAACTTCAATATGAGTTTCAATGTTCCAAATTGAAAACAAATCAAATCGCCCCATAAATAGCAACGTGTTCTAACGGGCAGTAAATAATACACACTTTCCAACCGCTCTTCCATTATTCAACAGGGGGGCCTTTCCAAACACGTATCTTTCCTAGGTTGCGGTCGAAATGAAATCAGTGAATTGTGAATGCTGCATTTTCACTTTCGAGGCTGATTTTAGTAATATATAAAATTGCGTTTTCCAGCCGATATCAACGATAAAGTAACTGATGAACTTCAAGCTCTCAAAAGCTCCAAAGTGATCAAAGACTGGCGGTCCAAAGTACTGGGAGGAGGCCGGATTAAACACGACCCTGGAGCGAAAACCATCAACGTGTATGGATACTCTCAGGTAACGGCCCTTTATTTAGTGGAAAAACTACAGGTTGAAACCGGAAAATCGACCGGAAAAGGGTCGCTTAGCGGAACAGCCAGCCGGGAAGTTTGCGTTATATAACTTCAGCTCTTGTAACATGTGTTCCAGACGTTTCACCCATTTTGGATGCTGGTGTGACAGATTTATGGTCTGGGTTTAACAAGTCTCAGATCTGTTATCCCGCATCCAGATATTGAACTGTTTTTTGTTTAGCTGCAACGATTCTAAGTTCTTCAGTGGCAATGTTTTTAAAAATATGTTGTTGCTGTGGGAATCTAACGCGAAACCTTAGAACGCTCTTGATCATGTAAATGCCATCGGAAAAATTCCCTTGCGAACACAAAGCGGGACGCTCCAAACATGGATCAAGCCACTTTGGATTCCGTCGAAACTAAATCGCCAGGTGGAAATCAGCCGACCGTTATTCGACTGTAGCGGAATAATCCGCCGCTACACAAAATCATGCTAATGTCCTCCAAACCGAGCTGGGTATTTGAATAAGGGGTAAAATATACTTTTCGAGGCCGAAATAGGACTACAGCGAAAATTAGTTCGGGACAATTCGGCTGCCAAACTCCCTTTCAGTGATCTATTGGGAAACTTGTATTTCCAACCTGGTTCAGTAAAGTTGTATCAAAGCCAAAACGTTTAATTTAAGATGCATTGATAAAGAGTTAAGAATGAACAGTTAAAAGGCAGCAATTGCTCATTCTTTATTAGGTTCGTTCGATGGGAGCAGCTTCCACCGAGACAAAGTTGCACTGTATGTCAGCTAAAGTTGAAAAATTCCTGCTCAGCATTTGCGAATTTTCCGTCTGAACGCGAAAGAGCACGCAAAGAAAAGAAATGCTGCCTTGGCCAAATGCCGAATTGGCGTTGAGGGAGCAAGAGAATTTTCAGCAGGTTGGGGGTGATTCTTATTCCGTCTGGCCCATACCACTAAAGCCACTAAAATAATGAGAAGAGCATTCAGCTTTTTATGATTTGTAGAAGGCTGGTGATGCCTTATATGAGCGAAACTAGAGTAACTTTTTCGAGACTCAGTAAATCTCTGAGATTTTGACATTGATTTTTTTTAACCGCTGGTTTTAAGTAACTGTAAAGTGATTCACCACTTTTACGAGGTTATAACATTGTTTTTAAATCGAATCGGTTTAAAAAATCGAAGTCAAAATCTCGCAATTTTGCCGATATTTCCACGTTGATTTTTGAAACCGCTAGTTTTAACTGAATAATTCCTCAACAAAACTCAACTCTAGACACAGAAGTCAAAATCTTCTGAATTTAATGAGTTACTCAGCTCATACAATTGATGAATTTTTGGTTCTAGACATATTAGGTACAGGAAAATAGGCATTAAACGTTGAATAGCCTGACACCAAATATCGATCCTCCTGCTATTCCCAGCCTGGGCCGGTTTCCTCAATTAAACGGGGCAAATGTGTTCATGTTCCATTCAAGGTTTCTCTTTCAATTAGCATTAAATCGATTCGTTTCGGATACGTTTCAGGGCTTTGGTAAGGCCGATCATGAACTATCCGTGGACATCATCAAGACTCAATATCCAAGCTACCAAATCACCTGGTCGGACGAAGGATACTAAAACCGGTGGAAACGATCTGGACACGCACAAGTATTTATTTTGCTGAAATGATGTAATCGAAAGTTGCCTAATAAAGCCAAAGTCGTTTAACATGTGTGCTTTTTTTCTGTCTGATTTTCTCGTGTTAAAAGAATCCCCTTTTCAAATCTCCGCACATTTCCATGTGATTTCCCAAACACCCAAACCCGGAAAAGATGCCTGATTGATACCGGGCTTTATCCAAGTTTTCAGAATATTCAGTGTCGAGTTTTCAATTTATTTCTGGCCTTGGATGTTGGGGTGTTCAAGCTATGGAAATCTCCTTTGGCCGATAAAATCAATTGAAAACAACCACGCAAATATAATTAACTCCTGGCTAAGCGTAAAATCACAGCAAACAATTACGTGAGTACATTTATTTCTATTTAGTCCGCGTGTTTTCACCGTTAGGGCTTTTATTATTAACCAAATTTTTGCAACTGGATTCGGAGTGGTTTTTGCGATTCTGCGTGAATATCAAAATATGGTAATTCGCTCGTCATTAATACGGGGCTGAAGGATTGTTTAACATGCGGTTTTAATGACCAAATCGCATGCAGAACCTGGTTATCGATTATCACTGGCCGGCGATAGAAGGGAAGGATAATTCAGGTATGAATCCTGAGGTAACAATGCCCCAAGTCGGCAATTTTAGTGATTGATGGTCGAAAATGAATAGAAATTTTGAACATTCAGCAAGGAACTGCAGGTCTCATTTGAGTACTAGTGCTGACCTTTAAAGCCCTTTCTTGGAAATCGAATCCTAAAGCACCACACCTCCTGAATCCTAATGGAATGAGGATTGTTTTGGGTTGGTCAATAAGTCCAACCTACAGCCGCTTGAAGTTGATCAACACCTAAATCTGCTAACCTGATTGCTTTCTTATTCAAATGGCAATAATTTTATCTGCAACGGGCTCATTTTTCAGCGTAAGTCCCATTTTGTTTTCCATTGTTTATCGAGATACAAATGGGAATAAATGACAAGGAAATCCCTTTCCATAATGCGTCTCGCAATCTAATGGATGCGTCGCTTGTTTTTTATTTGAATGGCAATAATAGAGACATTCGAAGCGAAACGCTTTCTCGATATGATATTTTATTCAGTTCAATCTCTCTAATTTTCTCATACTGTTGGTGAAATTTAGCGAACTGTTTAAGCTTTACTGATTATATGCTTAATGTTTCTATTTGCCATTTTTTCTCTGATTATTTAACTAGCGGACAAGACTCAATTTTGGGGATTTGGATCTTCTCTCTTGTTGAAACTTTCCTGAATCCAGACCAAAGTCCAGCCACATTAACCCAGTTTGTCCAATTTACTGGACCAGACCGGGTTAGGAGGGAACATTTGCAACAATCCGACCATTCAGAAAAGATGATGGATCTGAGGTTTTCTCCTAGCTGGCCATACAAACGACACCAAGTCATAAATTATGATTCGGGCTTCTAGGCAAATATCAGATAAGCGCTGCGGTTTTAGCATGCCATGATATATTAAATGGAGAAAATGTAGATCAGTGATTTATTCGTAAATAAATCAGGGTGAAAATGCAGATTTTTACTGCAGATTTTGCGCTCCGCCCTGCTTGCAGGATGTTTCCGAAAACTTATAGCCCAATGTGTAGAGAATTGTCACCGAAATTTCTACATTAAATGCGTACAAGTTTGAAAAATTTAATTTGTGAGAGCCTCTCAGTTGCCGTTTTTACTCGAAATTTCCCCGAGGAGTTGAAAAGCACTCCCACAAAGCTGCTCGGGCAATCGAGTTCGAAAGTTAGCAGCGCTAAGCCCTTAGCAAAAAACGCTAGCAAAAAGGGCATTTTGTTAGGGAAATTGTCTTTAAACTGGTTTTTGAACTGGAAAAGACCGAGAAATACGGTACGTTAATTTGTATCACTAACTAAAGCGACTTTCCAACCCAAATTCTGGTTGCTTCCATAAAGGGCAACCGGTCCGATCTAATAATACCCGGTTAAGCAAGTCACCCTTTAGTTAAATTTACGCTACACCTGATAATCGGGCATTAGTGTTTGCTCTACGGGATATCAAATTTTAATTGACTCTAGGCCGAGGAAAGCGATGTTCAGTTTTTCAAATTTCAGCATATAAAG